GGACCCAACGTATAGTTATATGCAAAGGGCTTCCCTACACGGAGCATTTTACATTTTTGGAGGTTAAACTGTAGACTGTTTTTCAGTGACCAATCATAAAGTGTATCGAGAACGTTTTGTAATAGGTGACTGTATTCAATGGTGCGTATGCTTGATTATATCTCGATATCTTCCGCAAAGAAAGTGGTTTCACTGCTCACGAGCTCAGGTATATCGTTTATGTATAATATAAATAAAGTAGGCCCAAGAACGGAGCCTTGGGGTACTTTACTTGTAGCGCCGTTCGTTTCGTTCGCTGTTGGTAGGGAACACACATGATTTAACAGCTTTTGTGAACTCTGCTTATTGAGACCTCTATACAAGCTTGGTGTTATTTGCCAAGGTGCCATGGTGCTCTGGGAAAGAAGTTGCCCGGCGGCATTCTGTAAAATGGGTGCTCTTTCATCATTCAGAGACTCTCTACCTTTGCCAAAATATCCAGTGCATATCCAATGGACATCAATTTTGCAATCAATCGTGTAATGGTCGACAGGGGGAGAAGATATTTGATGGAAACATGTTTGTTTTAACCAAGATGTGCAGCGGTGCTGCATACACCAAGTTAATAATAGTTTTTCATGGTTTCAATCCGCGTGATGGCATCCATGAAAAACAAAAAATATATAACGACACATGCACGCAAAACCTTTTCTATGTGCTTACCATCAATGAAAAAAATATTATCTAATTCTACACTGACAAGGCTGTTTTCCAATTGAATTTCGCGTTTATTATGAAACACCCTGTACTTGTGCAGATTTGTAGGCATATTTCTGAGTAAACTAGTTAACTAGAGTAAGAATATTTCGACAACTGGTCTTATTTGCACGCGAATTCGTTTTTGACAGAAGACCCGAATGGATCTCTCGCTAATGTGGTACGCTTAATCGGAGGGTGCTGAAAAAAAGTTGACGGGTACTCAGGGGGGGCGCCGACCTGATGAGCCTTCTCGTGGGCGGTATAAAGTTTTTCACGTAGTTGTGAGTAAATAACAACGTATGTGTTGTCTCAAGCGTCGTACTAACAGAAATATAAGGCTGTTCCACGCATTCTGTTCAATTGAAGCGGGCCATCATCTGAGTCTCTTGTCAAAACCAAATACTGTGTAAATGAATGTGGTCCTCAAAAACTGTACAATGTGTTCAAATAGAACTTGAGGTTGAGGAAAACTCAGGGACTGATAACGAAGCATGACGAAACTGGCCCTGAGTTTTGAAGGGTTTTCAGCAACCTTATGATTAGTGTTACTTCCACAACAACTAACGCACCTCAACAGCCAAGCTATCTACCGGCGGCACATTATGCCTCACGTGCGAGCTTTAAGTTCTACATGGTGAAAAACTCGTGCGGGTCAATTTCATGTTCCATCCAGGCCGTGGAATAATGCACATTTTTATTTCGCTTATCCGGGTATATACATTGATCCAAACGTCATACTCCTGCGTACGGTGTTCCAGCCATGCTGGAGAACGGCAACGTTTAGCTAATTCATTTGTGACACGAAAAACACCGCGGACAATTTGCACACCGAGGAGATTGAAACAATTCGCCAGCGGACAGAATCCTGAAATGTAGTTTAATTTACAATCCAGTTGAAATAAACCAGAAGAAACGAAGAACTGATCTGAGTTCAGAAGCGTTCTCCTTCAAAACGAAGTTATCGTGAAGATGAGAGTTGTATCTGTCGGGACGGTCAGTTTCTTGAAACTGAACCTAGGGTACTTGGAACCAAGCAGAACAATAAACTCTACCCAAATCTGAATAAGGAAGCAGGCAAGCATCCAGACCAGTCAATACGTCAAGTTATTTAAAAAAAGCACTTCACAGAAGCCCGCCGGAATATGATCAGCGTTGATGCATCTAATAAAAGCACGATCGATATTGGTAGGTGTTCAGTAGATGTTCAATAGGTGTCCATTAGAAAGCCTAGATCAAT